ATCAGCGGCCGATCAGACCGTTGCAAACCCCAGATGTTTCGGTGCATACGGTCGAACCTTCTCCTGGCCGGATACGGTGGTTGACGGAGCTGAAATGGTAGAAAGCTATATTGGCGATTATCGGTGGAGGAAGGTCTGCACAGTCGTGTTGGTTGGCCAATTTGTGTGGTAGGTGAGTTGTCTTATCCACTATAATGCCACAGTTGCTGCAGGGTAGGAAAGGAAAAAGAAAACAAAATTGGGCAGTTGACTAATTGTGATTTTTGGACCGTTGCAAATATAACGGTCCAATTTTGAATTATAATCAGATGTCTAGCTGGCCCAGACAGGCCCTTATAGATATTGAAGTGTCTCATTAAATGTGTGCTTGACATTTCATGAACCGATGCACCACTTAATCTGATTCGTCTTAGTAATTGTATCACACCATTTCATGATCAACGGCTCAAATTAAACCATGAAGTGCAGTATCCATTCATCATACATATTCACCAATTTCTGAATAGTCACCAACCATGCAGATGCGCGTACATCCAACTGAACCCACGCAGGAAGAAGTGACGCCGCACGTTACATGCGTGTCACCTAGGATGCCAACTTATTGAGCCTCTCGTTGCTATGTCATCGAACCATGAGTCAATTTCCTAAAACTATAAGGCTCCCTAACTCCTCACGACGATCGATGTGCAAAGTGCCCAATGCGAACTTTGTGACGTGTGCGGGCCGGGGTGCAGCGCGAGTGGTGCGAAGAGGCTAGTTCACTAGCCTTTGGTTGGCCAAGTTGTAGGTTACTTATTAAATTATAACTTGTTCATACATCTCATTATATAAACAAGTTTTCGTTCTTTAAACTTTCTATATGAGATTCGTAATTATATATAAGACACTTAAAATAGGTTTATCAACTTATGGCCATATATTAGAGACTTTTCTATTTCACCCAAATCAATTGTAATGACCAACATCATTCACATTTAATTATTTAACCCAATTAAATTCAATTAATTCCAACAAATCGTACACGTTTTAATATGCCAGCATATTTTTTCATTATCATTCCTTCGTGATAAACCAGCTCCAATCAAATAAAATCAAGTAAACGTTAAAAAAAAGAAAATAATAAATAAAT